AGGATAGAGTGATCATATATCTTGGTATGCCTAGAAAAGTATGGATTTGCTGTAGCTTAATTATTCATACCCCAAAATGTCCTGGTTTGGGCAATAAATTATGTGGTCACCCTACCTCAGAGCAAACACCAGCTCTAAGACTTACTCCTCCCTGGGGAATGGTTCTTTTTCAAAGATTCTTGTCTCCACTTATTTCTTGTACTTTACTGCCAACTTAACCATACTTTTACATTAATTTTAAAGTGTTTTATTCATTATTTTTGGATATTCTTTATGAAGAGGAGTTTCTCTGCACACATAGTGAGCTTTATGGTTGGATATGGAAATCCTCCCTGTATCTTTTTAAAGATCTTTTCCAAGAAGGAATCTAAGGATTTCTTTTTTAGGAAGAATTTACTATATACCTTTTTTATACCAGCCAGTTGATTATATAACACTTCATAGATTGGAAAAAAATTAATGTTTTAGGTACATATGATTATTAAAAAAAGAGAGGAACATCTTGATTAACAATTAACCTTCTCAAATATTGTAACTGGGAATTCCAAGAAAAGTCCAGGGTAAGGGATAGTTCTCGGTAAGTCTAATAGAAGATATGTCTGTGTATGTGTATTTAGATGCTGGCCTATGTGTGTACACACACCCATGTGTATGCACATGTACATGTTCTTAATTTGTATGAAGCTAGAAATGAAATGCTTAGTAAAATGAGAAAAAGCCAAAGTAGAAGTTAAATCTTGTTCCTATTTGAGTAATAGATTGTTTCAGCTGTAACAGTGCATACTATCATTGGTTTCTGATATTCCTGAAAGATACTATAATAAATAATGTCCTTCCATTCCTAAATAGATAGGATGATTTCATTCTGTTGTGAGTAATTGTTTCCAATGGAAACACTTCTAACCCAAGAATAGCTTCTTGCTGTGACTGACATGACTTCTAAGAAAAATGTGTTAGGCAGCAGTATACACTTACGTACTAAAATTTGACTTCTACAAAGAAGTAAGAAAGCATTATGTAAAGTGTTTACTTTTTATTTATCTACATCAAAATAGACTGTTACCAAAAATTTTTGTACTTTCTAAACAGAATAAGATGGTTATAAATGAAATACATTAGGTTCAGGTAAGTAAACCTGATGAAATATTGGAGACCTCATCTATCAACTCAAGAAATTGGTTTAGATAAACCTAACTTTTCTCAGGGAACTTATATTTACCTTGGAGACCAGTTTTTAGTGTCAGGCCAGGGAGAGGGCTGGTGTGTCACCAAGTTGGATAATACACTTGAAGGAAATTATGACACACAATATATTCAGATGGCAGTCATTGTAATTCTAATTATCCAGTCTATTCAAGGTACTAGATAGCTTTTTATGATTATGACCACTCTAAGAAAGACAAATATAAGATAATAAGCATACAGAGCTCTCGAGTACCCAGAGTGTGTAGACTAGCTAAAATGAATGATATCAGAATACATCAGCTTGTCTCTAATTTTCTTTGTACACAATTGCAATAAAATTTGATGTGCATTGTAGGGTGTTAGGAGGTTTCTTGGTGGTTAATGATTTACATAATGATTTCCTTTTTTTATCAGAGAGTCAACACAGCTCATGTTTCTGGATTTAGAATAATTTTGTTACAGCTTTCATTCCGTTTAACTTACATGCCTCTATCATTTGAGGTGTATGTGTTTTATATAGTAACCTCTATACATCATATTTATATCATATAGCTGTGGGAAAGTTCTGGCATTTAGGATTTTTCTTCCTTTAATTTTAATCCTATTTTTTTCTCAATTTCTTGTTTCCTACAATGTTAATAAATATTACCAAAAAATTTTCCTTATTCTTGTAATACCCTTCAATATTATTTGTAGAGGGCAGGTCCTTACTTGGCTGGTCCTTAGCCCAACTCTACATGTGTAACTCTTGCAATTTTTTCGCTTAAATAATTTTCTCTGAACCTTTGTTCACATGCATTTCCCTCCCTAAATTTTATTTACTTCTGTGTTAAAAAAAAAAAAGTGACATGGGAAATTTTTCCATACACATTAAGCAGCAAGGAATAATTTGGAGTTTGCTTTTTGCTCCCAGTTCTTGGGTATACTTTCTGGTTGTGTTGAACAACACATGTAAGACTGCAGATTTGGCTTTCTTTTCTTGTCATAGTTACCCTTACTTGTCTTTTTTTTTTTTTTTTTGGTTGGCTGAGGGTTAATTGCTTTGGAAAAGTTTTAGCTAAGTCCAAATTCACATGTTTAGTTTAGTCATAAACAGTTGACCAAAAAATACTGCTTCTATTTTAAAAGAACTGGAGTTGCACAGTGTGCAGTATGTGTGTTCATCTCTAGCAACCCAACCATGGCTGAATTTTCCAACTTGCCCTTTCCACAGACCTTGTCTCCCTTGAAGAAGTCTGTTCAATAATTCAGATAGTTAAATTCCCCTGAGCAAGAAAAGGTCTCATAGTGTTGCCAGAGTTCAAATATCTGGTAATCCTCCATACTATGGTTAGCAGTGATAGACAACAATCTGGAAGACGTTGTTGCCAGTTTCAGCTGTCTGACTTTAGGTGCTTAGTGACCTCCTATCCTCTGTAGTTACTGAATGCAATGACTAGAATTTGGTTCTGCCGGAACTTTCCTAGAAAATTGTAAGCACCATTAAGGCACAGACTTTCTGACTCACACTAAAACTTCTTAATGCCAAGCCCCTAGCACAATAGTATGCATCTTATGATTGCCCAATAAATATTTGATGCTGGGTGCGGAGGTGCAAGAAAAAAATTATTGAATGCCAATAAAAAGCAGGATACAGGCAATTTAGTTGTTCAAATAAGCCTTTCCCCAGTTCCTGTTGGACATTATTTTGACCAAGTTTATGTTTTATTATTACATTGATTGTCAGTGCTTTATATTCTAAGAAAGGGCTCATGTGGACAACTCAACAGCATTTCTTCCATTAACTTTCTTGGTACTTATCTAGTCCTGGCACATCTTGCCTCCTGACTTTCTCCTTCAGTGCTGGTTTTATCAAGGGACTTAGAATTCCATAGATGGAAGGAATATTGAGAGTGATTCTCCCCAAACTCCTGCCTTAAAAGCAAGAAAATATGAAAGACAACTATAAGCCTCCCTCATCCTCTCACCCTCCCAAGTCTCCAGAGTGATGGCTATCACATCTCAGCTGCTCCTAGCGACTGCCTTGTGTTTTTTGGACATTGTGTTCCAAAGATCACTAAAATGTTGCTGCTAACTCTGACTCCTCTTCCTTGTCACTATAGTCAGGAAAAGAAAAAAATACTACTTTTCTAAGACATAGGAGGTATATTATATCCATAGGTCTATCAGTGCTTTCAGGGCCACATAAAAGGTAACGATTCCATGCTGATTTCTATGCAGGGTTAGTTTTCTCTATAGGTTTCTATTATGTGTGTGTGGTGGTGGGTGGGGGGGCGTTAGGAGTGGATAATCTGTCTGAATGCACACAGAACTTTGTTTTTCAACTAATTTGTTCTAAATGGAAAACATTTCATTATTTGGTTTGTTCATTGTATTGATTTTGCTAAAAATGAGATTCCTCAGGAAGATAATTTCTTTAATTAGGATATAATCAGTTAAAATATATATTCAGTTTTTAAGTAACAATATTTATGATTATCTAGAAATTCCTGAATGTTAGTAACTCTAGCTCTGAAGTTTACAGATTATAACTTTACTGTGCTATCTTGCCTTACCCTTATGGTAGTTTGAGTGTTGATATTTTAAAAAGCTTATTTTTTAGAAAGATGCTAGGCATGGAAGCAGAATTAAATGTTATTTGCTTTGATATCTATATATTCCTTTCTCAGTTTTGATTTTTAATGATATTAACTTTTTTTTTTTTTTTTTTTGAGTTGGAGTCTCACTCAGTCACCCAGACTGGAGTGCAGTGGCCGCTCCCGGCCACCGCAGCCTCGCCTGCTGGGCTCTGCCTCGCCTGCTGGGCTCTGGCGATCCTTCCACCTCAGACTTCCGAGTAACCGGAATTACAGGCATGCGCTACCGCACCCGGCTGATTTTTTGATTTATTGTAGAGATGAGGTCTCGCTGCCCAGGTGGGTCTCGAACCTGCGGGCTCAGGCAATCCACTCACCTCAGCCTCCCAAAGGCGCGGGATTACAGGCTAAGCCACCGAGCCCGGCTTATATTAACTTTTAAAGTTGAATTTTAAATCACTATTAACAATTTTATATGTACCTCCCACTACTGCATATTTTATCATTTCATTAAAAAGGAAACTGTCATGCTAAGTTTCCTTTAATATATAATGGACACTTAAGTAATATTCTAAAAAAGTAGGAAATACAGAGATGATTTAATCATAATTCCTATGTTCAGTGAATTTTAAATCTATTAATTCAGGGCCACAGAGAGAGCTAGATCAGCGCACAAAATAATCTGTCCCAAAAGCAACAGAGTGGCATGAGTAATCTGTTAGTTATTATATATAATACTACTTGAAATGTACAGTCTGTCTACTCATCAAGTTATTAGAAATGTTTCTGAATCTTAGATTATTTTCAGTGCTGCTCAGGGAATCACTGAAAACAGTGAACTGGTACATTTTACTCTCCTGATCTCTTGTGAATATGAGTAGCTTTCTGAGGAGAGTAGCCACCAAGGACCAAGGTCCTTGTCAAATGATGGTCCCAAAGTTCTTGATGCAGTTTACCACAGTGTTAGCCAATAGCCCTCAAGCTGCAGAAAAGCTAATAGAAGGACTCCACTCTACCCTGCCACCAGAGAAAAGGACATACAGGCTTGCAGGGCACACAGAGAAGCCAGTGGGAGGGGAACGAAAGCATGGAGAAAGAAACGAGGAGAAGGAAGTCCAGCTGAGAGATTTCATAGAACCTGACATACCTTTGCTATACTTGTTTCATGGCAAGTATAAGATCCTTATGACTGGAGTGGGAGACTTTTGGGTGTGTCAGAGGTAGAAAGTGTTAGAAATCATGTCTGATTTGGGGAAATTGTTGGGAGGAAGACTGGAAAGAATCCTTGTGGTCCGAGTGGAGAGTAGAGAGGGAAAAGCCAAGGAGTCTGAGCAGCCCTTCCAGGACCTTCTAGCACCAGATGGGTAGGTCATGGTCTCAATGCTGAAAACGTCAAGAACATATCTCCTAAAAGGGAAAATAAACACAGAAAATGATAAATTTGTTGTTCCTGAAAATATGGATGAGAAAGGTGTCCTGTTCTGCTTCATACTTTAAAGTGTTATTTTTTTCTTGAAGGATCTGTGGATTGACGGAGCAGGAGTTTCTTCTAGTTGCTGTGGCATTGTGTTTGATTTTTAGAAAATGGGTTATGTCAGTCCGCACCAACCCACTCAAACCCCAACTCACAGCTGCAGAAATAGCCTGAGGAAGTGACAAATTGGTGTACCTCATCATACTGTGATTAGGCTTAGTGTCTTTTAGTAATGAGTGTGACTCTGCATGGTAAGCAAATAAACTGGCAGTTTTTACAAAGATATAATCTCCCAAGAATTTTAGTGGTATTTAAATTTTAATCACTTTAGATTTGGGGTTATGAGTAAGCTGAAGGTATGGCTAAAAAGTCTGTCACTCAAGGCCAAGGCCCAGAAACACTTGTTTCATTGCTGGTACATGTGACTGATGGCCCAGGAGATCATGAATTGTGTGGTTCTCACAGGATTGGGTGGGGGCATGTAGAAATGTAATTGAACCTACGTGTTTTACATTGAAGTATTGTTATTTGTTGTTGTTGTAGTCTATAGATAAAATTGTCTTCTTTTGTTTTATTTGGATTGTCTAAAACTAGTATGTAAAAATCTTCCCTTCAGTTTTTGTTTTTGTTTTAGTGGAAATCTCCCTCTGTCACCCAGGCTGTAGTGCAGTGGCACGTTGCTCATGGCCACTGCAGCCTTGACCTGCTGGGCTTAGGTGATCCTTCCACCTCAGCCTTCCAAGTAGCTGAAACTACGGGCGTGCGCCACCATCCCAGCTCATTTTTTGATTTATTGTAGAGACGAGGTTTCGCCGTGTTGCCCAGGCTGGTCTTGAACCTGTGAACTCCCAAAGTGTTGGTATTTACAGGTATGAGCCACCATGCCCAACTTCCCTTCAGTTTTATAAAAATTAGAAATCAATGTCAAGGGCATGAAAGGTACAAGAATTTTGAAACTTTATTCATTTTCCTAATTGTAATCATAGCTTAGGTATTGATATGAACAGGCTGAAAACATTAAAGAACAACCACACCATGCTTCTTGGATTCACTGTGGGTGCATGCCTGATTTTGTGAGCTAACCTTGTTTACATTATTTTCAATGTACTGGTGTGCAGATTACAGAAAGATTGGGAAGCTGAGAGATTTATTATTTACAGAAGGTGGACAGTAGAGTCTATTGCTTTAGGAAAACACACAGTTCAGAGCAGCAGCCTGCCCAACATTAATGAATCATGATGATAGCAGTGACCTTGAGAAGTCATCCATCTTATTTACCCTATGCCTCTGCACAGGTCTGTCTCTCACAAACACCCCTGAGCAGAATGGGTCTGTCTGTCGTACACTGGACAAGATCTTGGGAAGGTGGGCCACAGTCTCCCTGAGTCCTCCCAGCCAGTGGTCACCTGATAATCCTAAGTGTTCTTAGCATCTATCACAATCACACCAGGCTGATTTTATTCATTGCTGCCTGATTGTTGGAATACTTTCAGAGTTTAAATTTCTCTGTCTTTTGGAGAGAAGGCCAAAGTTAAACTCTAGCAAAATAAAAGGTCTCATCTGTGCACAATACGCAGAATGGTAAATTGTCCCAAGCGGACGGGATTGTCTTTCAGTAAACTAATACTGCTGAGATCCATTAAAGCGATGGGGGGCTGCCAAGTACTCAACATCCCAGACTCATCAACTTGTTTTTCTGCTGACCACTCAGTCAGTCAGCAAGAGCAATGCGATAAGTCCTGGATGATAAACACGGTTCTGTTGCAGAGACAAAATGGATCACAGCAGAGAAGAAAAAATGTTTCAGATGAGAAAAACAAGTGCCAGGAGCAAGGTTCTTTTAGGTGAGACCAAGTCCTTTCAGATTCAAGAGAGTCTCATTTCCCATGTGGAAACTGGAAGGAAAAAGTTTTTTAAAAATGTCCCACACCAGGCCCTCAGCCTCTTAGACACCTGCAAGTTTGCAAACATCTCCAGAGAAACCCTTGACTTCATGACATGTTAAGGGCAAATTTCAGTACTTGCTTAATAGAGTAGACACATTTGTTGCAATGAAATGCAGATCTGCTGTTAGTGTAAATTTATTGTGCTGCTGTAGCATCTTTATTATTTCCTATAAAATACAATCTGATTTAAAAATAACTGGTTCTGTGACACTTACAAGGTTGAATCTGATGGGATGTCCATTGCAGATGAATAGCCCTGTAAATAATTTATGTCTTTTGTCACTTATTTGTGAATTCTTTTAGACCTACAGTAATTAGCAATAAGTTCTGGAGTAAACTAGAGAGTGAAAGTACCAGAAAGTCATGTAGGTTAGTGAGTTCTATTGATTCTTTAAAATAATTCTATAGTAACGACCATGGGAAAGAAGCCAGTGTGTTTCTAAGTCTGATTAATAGCTGATTTAATTCATAAGCCTTAAAGCCCAAAGCAAAGATTCATTTGTTTTCAATTCTGTTTTATGTTTTTTGGAGCATTGAGGCTTGGATAGTTTATTTAAATGAGGTACATTTATGACTTTTAATATGATTGCCCTCCCATTTACACAGAAAGTAATATATTATATTCAAAGAGGCAGATTGAGTGAGTAATAATGGCTGTGAAACAAAAGAAGGCGATCTGGATTCCATACTAGATGCCCCTTCTGTACTAACGCTGACAGAATCTAGTTCCATTATAGCAGGGAACAGAATCTGCTCAGACTGGCAGAAACAAACTGGAATTTACAATCAGGATGCAAAGATAGTTGATGGAACCAGCAAGGAAACGTGGCCAGGCCCATTAGAGACTGAATAGGGACTGGAAAGTGGTCATAAACCAGTGTTATATTTGTTGTCCTCCCAGGGCTGTCCAGTCTCCTGTCTCACCACACTGTCTTTACCTGCAGACAGACTTCCCCTTCTTCAGGGAGAACACATGGCCAGTGAAAGTTGCCTTCGTTTCAGATTTTTATTTCTTCCCAATTCAAGCAACATCAACCAGCTAGCTAGAACCTAATTTCTGATTCCAAATTCCTGGAGATTGGATCTGAGTGGCCCAACTTGGTGAGGTTGCCAAAGAGCTGTGGCCAAGAGAGCAAGGCAGCCCAGCACCAGAAGGGCTCCAGGGCTAAAGCTCTGATTTTGCCCAAGACCTTTCTTGTATTCTTTCTCCCTTTCCCCTTATTGCCTACCTCTCCTCTTCTATGAATATTACAAACATGTCTCGTCCAAATTCCTTCTCATAGAACTTTGGTTCACAAGAGCAATCTTTACAAGGTGCAGAAGGGGAGGAAAGGTGCTGAAGTTTGTTTCGGGCAGAAGAAATGGCAGAAATGTGGAACTGGCAATGTGTGGAGTGAGGTGCACACAGGCAGTGTTAGTAGGGCATCAAGTGGGCAGTGGGGATGGCCTGAAAATGAAGTGTGAGAGGCCGGCGATTTGGAAATTCTATTAGGAATCCAGGACTTTATCTTGAAGGCCATTTGTATATTTGTGTTTTGTCAGGAGTTGGTCATTAAATGATTTTAAGCAGAAATTGATCATCAGATTTTACATTCTCAGAAGCTTCCTTAGACAGAAGTTTTAAGAATGGATTGGATGAAGAAGAATGAGAATAGAGGCAGAGATATCATTTTTATGTCTCAGAAGATATGAAGACAGAGTACTGAAAAGGAGGGACAGCTTTTAGAAATATTAAGTTGGGATAGTGGGAAGCACTTGTTGATTGATTGGCTATAAAGTGGGGGGAAAGGAATCAGAGATAATCCAAATTTCTACCTGGAAACTGGGAAGATATGGTGGCATGAACTAAGTTGGAAACCAGAAGCAGGTCTGAGTGGAAAACGATAAATTCTGAATTGGACAGTTGAGGTTGAAGTGTCTGTGGGATATCTAAAGGGATATGTCTAGTAGTCCAAGAATCTGAGTCTGAAACAGAGGTCCGTGCTTGAGCTATGAATTGTGTCCAAAGGATACTTAGAAAGTAGGTAGAGGGGTAAGGATGTAAGCAGTCACCCCAGGAGAGCACACAGAGCTGGGATCCTTAGCCTGGGGTCTTTGGATAGCCTCCAGGGGATGATCTAGCGAATCCTCTGTTTGTGTGTAGAATTTTGTACATATTTCGAACGAGGACAAGAAAAGGGTTCATGACTTTTATCAGATTCTCAAAGGAGTCGTGAGTCAAAAAAAGATTAAGGAGCTCTAGTGTAGACCATGCATTAAAAGGGACAATATTTTCTCCCCCAAGAGGATGAAAATTGGTGGGGGGAGACGGCAAACAAATCTCACTCTTTTTATTTATAAAGTACAGATATACATTCGGTACATCAGAAGATATACAGTGTCTAGGGTATTAAAATTTCAAGGTGGGATTAATTAAAAAATATTTTTAAATGTTCCTTAGGCAAGTGATAATGAAGAAAGAGGTACAAAACATTGGTGTGTGGAGTAAGAGGAGGAGTGATTTTTCATCTGTTTTACTATTAGTGTCTAAAAGCTGAGAACAAAGAATCTATAGTTTTTATTGCTGACAGAAATATTGCTCTACCACACCTTTTTCTCTTTCTATTATTGTATCACCATCACCACCACCACCACACACCTCTACTGTCTGAAAAGTTTATTACAGTGAATTGAGTTTACTGTACAGGGAATGAAGGAAAAACATTGAACATAGAGCTTTTCAGGAAGGGGTCTTCTTTGTGTGTGCTATTTCTGGTGCAACATTCTTTCAATATGATGTACATATTAACTCTTATGAATGTCTAGATTTAGGAGCACATTTTAAAGTTAGCTTGCACATTAATAGACATATCTAGTTACTCTACCTGATGACTGATAAAGAAAGCACTATTTGTTGTCTGGGGAAGTTGGAAACTTCCAAGAATTATACACCCCTGGGCCCTTT